ACCAGGGATGCAGGGTCTTCCTCATTCCTGGTTCTCTATCACAGACAGGGCTCTATTTATTCACCAGGCAAGCTGCTTATCCCCTATGAACTTGTATTTACCCCAGAAAGGTAGATTGAAGTTACCTCCAGATTACAGGGTTATAGATGAGTATAAAGGTCATCTATAACCTGTAAAGAACCATTTTCTGTATATGGCATTGATGAAAAGGAAGTGACCACACATACTTCTAGGAGGGAGGAGTCCTGTGTCCCCATCCTCTAATAGAAGTACTATAGAATCACAGGCTTTCTCATCATCCAGGGCACAAAATTCTGGGGTAGCAACAGCTAAAACTTTCATATAGAGTATGGCTTGCTCTTACCCAGGGAAACTTTCTTTCCTTTGACAGATATATTACTCTTAAAAGGTCTCTCTCCTGCTCTCAATTTCCACTCAGAGAGAAAGGGAAGGGCTTGGGGGGGGTTAAGGAATAGAGTACTTGTCTACCCTGTGTAGACCAAGGCACTTCCCAATGTGGACCAAGATTCTTGCCTACCCTATGTGGACTAAGGCACCCTGCCTACCCAATGTGGACCAAGGATTCCCAGGCAGAACTGTGAATGGAAAAGAGCCCTGTGCTAGGAGACAAGGTCCTGGGTTCTAGATCTGGTTCTGTTGTTACTTGTCAGATCTTAGGCATAACACTGTCTTTTCCTGGGCCTCAACTTCTCCTTATAAAATAGGCAGTTGCATGAGATGGTTAGTAATATCCTTTGATTTTATGAATGGCCAGGATTGCCCTCTACCAGTAGGAGAAGAAAGAAGTAGGGAAGGGGATGAGACCGCAGGGCAGTGGCTTCAGACAGTCTCAGATGAAGGTCATGAGGTGTATCTGGACTTCACAAAGGGCTGGGAGGGAAGCCAGACACATGTCCTTTTGGCTGTCACACATCATAAGGGAATGCTCTTAATGTTCACCTTCCTGATTCGAACAAATGCTGTCACATATGGACTTTTAAAGCTTTGTTTACTTTTATAAATTCATCCTATGTTCTTTTTAAAATGATCAGAAAACCCAGATAGGAAGACAATGATAAATCTAGACTCATATAATCTTTCAATGTCTTTAATTTCGAATCTCTAGCAACCCATTTTAAAGAAAGTTTTAATTGACACAATTAAACATATTTATGGAGGCACAGTGTGTGATTTCCACACATGAATGCAATATGTAACAATCAGATTAGGGTAAGTTGGTACATCCATTGCCTTGAACATTTACCATTTCTTTGTGTAGCAAATTCCTAAATCCTCTGCACTAGTTATTTTGGAATAAAAAATTGTCATTAACCACAGTTACTCTATGAATCAGTTTTGAATATACATCCCAACCTCTTCATGAATGATTAAGAAAGGTAAGATTTAGGGGGTGGGGAGATGACTTGGTATATAAAATGATTGTTGCACAAGCATGAAGACTTGCACTCAGATCTTCAGAACCCATATAGAAAGCCAGGAGTGGTATTGTGTGCCTGTAACCCAGTGCTGAGACTGGGTAGAGACAAGTGGCTCCTGCTGGCTTGCTTTCAGTCAGTCTAGCTAAACCGGGATCTCCAGGGTTAGTGAGAGAGTCTCTCAAATAAATAAAGTGGAGAACAATAGAGGAAGATGCCTGATGTTAACCTCTGGCTTCCACCTGTGTCTGCAGGAGAAAGTATGCTTATGTGCACGTGTGTGTGTGTGTGTGTGTGTGTGTGTGTGTGTGTGTGCGTGCGTGCGCGTGCGCACGCGCTAAAAATAAAAAATAATTTAATATCTCAATTTCCAGTAGGTACTTGAGTAGGTGATCTCCTTTGGAGATCTGGGCTCATTCACATTTTGAGCCTTTGGCTGTGAGTTGGGAGAAAGCTGATGACGGAAGGCTCTGCCCTACTGGCACGAGTACTGTTCTGCTCCTATCAGGAACACCACACACGTTCTCAGTTGGATGAATGAAAGGATGAATGGGGTGACAGGATGGGGGAAGATCACAGGACTAGCGTGAGGAGAAGGGAGGCTCCCTATGACACTGCAGGCTGCAGAGCCTTGGCTGCTTGTCAGGGAGGCAAGTCCAGCTTTTCCCACCTGGCTAGCCTATGCAGCTGCAATGCCTAAGCAGCTTTTGACAGATCCAGGACCTGCAAAGTTGATGATTAAAGTGGTTGTAGCCTATTGAGGGCAACGATTCTCAGAAAATCAACTTGTGTCCCCTCCTCCCCCGCCAAAAAACATTGGTGTGCCCCAAACCTCATAGTTAGAGTTTGTGGTTAGAATGCAAGGTTATGGGAGCAGCTGTAGGCATTGATAGAGAATTGTTTCAGAGATCCCATTTATCTAATGAGCATCCAAGAACTCAAACCCCCAAAAGCTGATGTTATGATGCCTCTCATTTCCTGGATGTGTTCATCCTCTCCTCAAATACCCGATGACCCAGAATACAGGAGACTTAAACATTTTCTTATGGTCTGTGTGAGCTGAGGAGTTGGGGGAAGGAAGGGTCTTTGAACCATATCATTGCAAGTAAAACAATAAAGGGCCAAACCTCTCATTATCATTGTGTGTGTGTGTGTGTGTGTGTGTGTGTGTGTGTGTGAAATAAATGTCTAGCCAAGTTTAGTTTACTGCTTGCCATTAGTGACTTAAAGAAATATTAATTCCTTTTGCCTTTCTTTAGTGCTTTTGTCCTAGCTGCCTCTAAACCTTCAGTCCATCTGGATTCTAACTGTCTTGCCACTGGTCTCAATGGAGGAGGAGGTGCCCTTCCTCAAGTTCCCCCAGCATTGACTCTCTGGACCACAGGTGTAGGACTGATCACACCCAGCCCTATATTATCCCATTATCTCCCATTGCTTCCTGCTGTCTGTGCTGTGTGCCTGCTATTCCTTTACCAGCACCGCAGACCTTAAGGGGAGTGAGCATCAGACCGAGAACGGCTGCCCTGGGCTGAGCTTGCATGCTGCACGGGGTCTTGTTCCTGCAACTCTGAGATAATGATTTTTTGCCTTTCAGGGTTGTTGCTGGAGATAATGGGTGCGAAGTGCGTAAATCATTGCACAAAGTAAAGTGCTGTTATTAGCACCTCTGCTGAATCTATAGAGCCCCATGCCTCCCTTGCCTGGTGGGGTGTAGCTGATAAATACCTGATTGATTGAAGATGGAATTGCTTGGTGACAGCTCCATTCTCAGGCTCGGCTAACATCTAATCCTGCAATTACTCCCTTCACTGGCGATGCAAAACCTGCTGAGTTTTCTGCAGCCCTAAGTGCCCTCAGACTTCAGCTGATGAGGCAGGGCTGCTGCACCTGAAGAAGATGACTCTCAGCTGCACCAGAGTACCTTCCACAGACAGCGCTGGGTGTCACCTGGAAAAGCGCGGCTGTTCCTGCTACTCAGGTGATGTCTGGGGCAGTTGCCCCTGCAGAAGACTCAGCAAGTGCAAGGAATACGAGTCCTTTCTGTTAAGGTATCATGGCACTGATGGAAGCTTGTCGAATATTTCCCTGCTAGGCTTCATAAATGAGAAAAAAGGAGGGTGTGTGCAGCATCCACCCACAGGCATCGAGAAATCTCAGCATTCTCTTTGGGAGGTTGTGATACGAAGCCGGGCAGTTACTTTTCTCCCTCTGTGATGAAAACTCTCGTTTGGGCTTGCTGGCAAATGCCGTGTGGAGCTCAGCTTTTGTTAGTCTGCTGAACAATGTTATTGGTTATAATTGGGGCAATTATGAGCTGCTGGAGGAAGCTAAACACAGATGTTTAAGCCCAGGCTTGGGGTATTCAAGTCCAAAGCAGCATGCTTTAAATAGCCCCCTTTCCAAATCATCCTGCCTTACTTGAAATTCCCCTCCAAACTTGCCAGTGTTCAAAGGGAGATGGGGGAGAGGAGAGGATGGGTCGGGAAGGGAGGGGGAAGAGACTCACAAAGAGGAGGAGGAGAAAGAGAAGGCTGAGAGAGGGCAGACAGAGTTCAGATGCTCTGACGTGTGAGAGAGTTCCATGCGACCTGGGCAGAGAGACCTTTGGGTGGGACAGACGGGCAGTGGAGGGAACGATGTCAAGAAAGAAAGGGTACTACCTTGAACAATCCAGGATTGGAGGACCAAGGTCATGCCTTCAGAAATGCCCACCAAATCCACCCAGCCAGCGACTGACTGCATTCAGCCGTGCACACAGGTGAAGCTCAACCCCTCGGGTCTGTCTCTCCCCCCCCCATATTGTTAACAATTCCCACTAAGGTGTACAAGAACTCAAACCGGAATGACATCAGATTCAATGACACAGGAGCAGCCGCTTGCACAAAGGGCAGAAAGCCACAGAACAAAGTAAATCCTCATAAGGTGTGCCAGGGGCTTCCTAGGGCTGCTCTGAATGGCAAGCCCCTTCCCAGTGTCTGCCCTCTCTCCTGCAGTCACCTCTTCCATGTGTATCTGTCACCCAGTCAGAGCCACAACTGGGAAAGCAAAACTTTTCCTCATTTCCAAGTTCAGCTTTTCTTTTCGCATTTCTCTTTGAGATTAGCCAGCCCTCAGCCCTCCCCTTCTCTACCAACGGAACCCTGAGAAGAAGATGAATGAAGCCATAATCTCACAAGAGGCCAGCAAGCAGCCACAGTGGACAAAAGGCAGAGGTGGAGGGGCCGGCTAGGCTGTCCTGCTTTCCCCCGAGAGGCTCCGGGCAGTTAGTGCCGGCCGGCTGGTACTGGGGTCACATGCATTGCCTACCTGACGCTGTCTGTCACAGGGCTCTCTCAGATGTGAGGTTTGTTCCTCTGTGTCAGCCACACCAGCATATATATCCTCCCCCCACGCACAGCCCTCCCCTTCCCTGCCTACCTCGATGATGACACATGCCTACGCTGACCCCCTTCATCAACCAAACAACCCAACTACAATCCTGCCTGGCTGGCCCCCTCCCCTGCTCTGCATTCAGACTTGTGCCACGCCAACCTCCCCATCAATCCAGCCTCTAGCCTGCTTCACCTGGGCTCCGGATCAGCCAGGATCCCTCAGCTGCCTCTCCGGTTGCTTTCAGAGCCACTGTGAGGATGGCCAGCCAGGGAGAGCTGGCAAGTCACTCAGAAAAACAGACTCCTGGTGACAAGGGATGAGGCAGACCCCAAAGCCTGGAGTCTTCTCCGGTACCCTCTCTGCCTGAGGAGTGGGGATCAGGAAACACACAGGAGAGAGGAGGAGCTCATGCCCACCTCCCACTGGCTCAGGGAAGGGCTGAGCTGAGCCCCCTCCTGATATCCTGGCTCCACTGGGGTGGCAAGCTCTAGGCCAGACCAGAGTGATTCTGGAGGCATTTTCCACAGGTGCCCACAGCCGGGCACCGTACACATGACAGAGCACAAGCTCGGCAGGGGCCCTGAGATTGCAGCTTTCTCCCTTGGAGCCGGTATATCTCTTGTGAGCCTCAGATTTTCTTCTGTAGAATGGGTGCACCGACTCCCACGATGGGAGTAGAGTGATGGGATTGTTTGTATCTGGGACACGCAGGCCTTTAGTAAATGCTAGTGCGGTGTTCTCTCCCACCTTTCCGTCTTTTCACTCTAACCGGTGCCACCTTTCCGTCTTACATCAGCGTCCAGGGGGTTTCCAAGCTGCCGCTGCACCTTAGGGTGCTAGAGGCTGCCGAAGACACCTGGCCCGTGTTGCAGAACCCTGATTTTCCTCTTAGCTCAGGCAGGGAGTAGCCTGCAGAGAGGTGGCTCACAGGCAGCTTAGAGGCTACCCTAACCCCGTGGGTCCCCTTTCCTTGCCCCAGAGAAGTGCACCAGGACCCTGGTCTTCATTTTCCTAAGAAGATTTAAAATATCTCAGGATGCAAGGCTTTCATCATCCAATGAGAGCACGCACCCACTCAAGGGGCGGGTCTAGCTGATAAAGGACTGGGGCCTTGTCAGAGGAGGATTGAGGGATGAGCCTGCTCTGACCACTTGTGGGCACGGGGTTTAAGTGTAATCGAAGCATCCTTTAGAATGGTGAATTTGGTCCTGTTGAAATAAGATCTCAACAAAAAGCAAACAACAAGCACTTGCCCAGGCTAAGAACGAATCCTGAGAATAAAATCCCCTTTCTTGCATGTTCCCAGTGGAAAGGCCCGTGAATCAGTGTGCCTGCTTAGCACTGAGATCACTTGCTCAGCACAGGTCAAGGCAGCCAGTACAAACTCTTTGGGAAATCAGCATGCACTCCATATGACATGGAGTGGGGATGGGGGGGGCAGTTTTGCATCCTGCTGCACTTTGGGGTCCTGGGTATGGAGCCTCATCTCAGATGTTGCTGGCTGCCTGCCCAATATTTTCCTGTCCCCTTGTTATTTCTTATTGAGCAGGGGCTTTGATTTTATTCGAAGTGACAGCCTGCTAGCTAAAACCCTGCATTTCTCTGGTCTTTGGTGCAGTTGAGGTAGCCAATGAAAGTCAAACCACTGGTTTGTAGATGGGATTCTGAGGAAGTTCTTTTTAATGGTGTCCACTCAGCCAGTGGAGGCTCTCTTCCTCTCTTGTTCCCCCCTTCCTGGAACGCAAATATGGTTGCTGGGGCCCCAGCCGCTATCCTGGATCTTGAGGCAACTTTGAAGTTGAAGCCGTATGGTTACCGGCTCCTTTTTTTGTTGCTGGGAAATAAATGCTCCATAAAAGCAAGGCAGGGGAGAAGGGTATATTTTGGCTCACAGTTTGGGGGTAGAGTCTTCCTCGGTGGGAAGCAAAGGATGGAGTCTGATGCCGCTGGTCATATTGCAGCCACAGTCAAGAAGCAGAGAGCAATGCATGCTGGCCACAGCTCAGTTTCTCTTTTTTGTTCAGTCTGGGATCCCAGCCAAAGGAATGTTGTTACCCACACTTAGGGTGGGTCTTTCTTCCTCAGTTCACCTAGTTAAGACATTTCCTCACAGACACACCCAGAGGTTTGTTTCTATGGTGACTCTAAATTCCATGGATTTTCAAAATCAATATTATCCATATTATACATCACAAAATTCATAGACTAAAGGCGATTCAAGATAAATATAGAAGGTTTTGGATCCTTCATGGCCATGAACCTGCCATATTGATCCTAGACTTCTAATGGTCAGACCACTATTTTTGAAGGGAAAGAAACCCCCCAAAAACAAAAACCCAACTCAAACCTTTACTTCCCATGCCATCAAGGGTTCAGTTATGCGTGTTACATTTAATGACAAAGGCAGAGTCTTAACACAACAGAGTCCATGCTTGTCTCATGACTCTGCAGACTGGGAATTCAGGATGGGTTCAGCAGGGAAGTCTCAGCATGGATCTCTCACCAGTACCCAGCTGCAAGCAGCTCTCAGAGGCTGGCTTAGTTCTCCTGCCGAGTTCTTTCTTTACCATACCCTCCATAGACCCCAGCACACACCATCTCACAGTAAGACTGAAATGCCAGTGTAAGCAAAACAAACCAGGGAAGGGCAAAGCACAGCACAGGGTCCTCTTGAGGCCTCACCGTGGAGCTAGCATTCCATGGATTTGCCGTGTGTCTTAGCTGTCCAGGGCTGGGTAGGCTAGACACTACAGTCACAAGATAAAGAGGACAGCTGTATAGAACCAGCCAACACTTTTGTTCAAGTCATTGATTTGGATTTTATGTTATACCCAGGGGAGAAATATTGATTAACACACCTGCCATTCAGTCTTAAAATGTTGAGAGATGCCAGGCAGGGCTGGCATAGGCCTTTAATCCCAGCATTTGGGAGGCAGAGGCAGGCGGATCACTCTGGGTTCAATGCCAGCCTAGTTTACAAAGAGAGTTCCAGGACAGTCAGAGGTGCTACACAGAGAAAGCCTGCCCCCACCCCAAACACAAACCAAACCAAACCAAAAAGTATGTTGAGAGAGTTAAATCCTCCCCTACCCTACAGCCGGGGGAAAAAAGACAAGAGTAAAGAGTTACTGCCTCTGACATTTTCTTTCTAGTTTATCAAATGGGGGAGGTGAAGCCAGCAGCCTGGAGGTTCCCTGGAAGATGAATGAAGATGCATGTCACATCAGGCTACTTCTGAGAATGAGGGGAGGCACAGGGTGAACCCAGGGAGGGAACATACTCCCTCAGAAAGTAGAGTACATGTTTGTCAGTGCATGATGGCTTTCTCCTGTGTGTTTTGTAACAGAATCATCATTCTGTGAGGTCCTTGTCTTTTCTGTTGTACAAGCATGGTGAGTAGTTAGAGTTACATGCTGTTCTTGGTTTTCCAGACTGAACAGAGGCCCTAGGAAAATAACTCACTAAAGTGCTTACCTTGTAAGCATGATAACTTGATTTCGATACCCCAGAACTTATATTAAAAAAAAAAAAAAGCCAGGCATGGTGATATACACTTATAATCCCAGCCTTGGGGCGTGGAAACAGGTAGATCCTGGGACTGGCCAGCCAATCATCATGGCCTACTTGACAAGCACTAGTATCAGGGCAATGAGACACTACGTCTCAAAGACAAAGTGGTCAGCAACTAATGGCGGATGTTGTGGTTGTCCTTCATTCTACACACATACGTGTGCATGCATGCCTGAGTGCATTTTGGTTTGAAATGTCCCCCATAGGCTGTTTTGCATATTCACTCCCCCATTATTTGGAAGGCTGTGGGGTTTTGGGAGGTGGGGTTGGTTATTGACCATCTTGTGAGGAATGCTTACCATATGCTACCGCTGCCATAAACTCCACCATGATAGACTACTACTTTCTGAAGAGTCAACCCATTTTTCTCTTAAGGTAGTTTTGCCTGCCTTTTGTAGCAGTGATAAGAAAGTGGCCAATGCACTTGGTAAGGGAGGCCACCTTACCTCATCTCTCCGGCTTTTGTGGATGGTTTTCCTCTTACTGGAGAAGGATTCAAGCTGAGGGCTGTAGGAGGTGGTAATTAAGGAGTAGACTCCAGCAGTTCCCACAGGTAAGTCTTGAGGAAGATGGAGCAAAGTCTTAGAACAGGCATCAGACCCATTCCCTTCCAGTTGTTTTCTCCCCTCAGGGCCAAGAGCACCTTCCTCCCAGGTATGTGGCTGCCTGCCCGGGATTTACTGATGAATTAAGGTGCCTCCAGTCAATTGGTCTCCTTAGTAACCACAGCAGCAGGGTCCCGGCTGGAAAAGCTGCTTCAATTTCTCCAAAGAGGGCAACCCAGCTTCATATTTTAAGACTCTTTCAAGTTACAACATAAGAGGACATTAAAAATAGACATATCTCTCCACTCCGAGTCAAAATAAGGATGAGCTTTTGAAGTATTGAGGGCAAGGTGGATGCCAGAGACGTTGAAGAAATATGTTCTTCCTATTGGATTCCTTTGTTTGTTTACACAGGTGCTGAGGATAGCATCCAAGGCCTTACACATCAAGAAAGGTGCTATACTTTAGAGCCACATCTCTAGCTGCAGGTACAGATTTTTTTTAATTGATGCATAAGAATTGTCCATATTTAAGGTTTCTGAGTGGCAGAGATTCATGTCTACAACATGGAATAACCAAGTCAACATCATTAGTGGTTCATCACAGCGTCACATGCTGGTGACTCATGCCTATGATGTGGAAAGCAGCCATCATCTTTGCTACTTCAAACTTCTATCTGTTGTGGACGCCCCAATCCTCTGCTCTAGCTATTTTAAAACACACAACAAACCATTGCTCATGGTTTTATAGAACACTAGAACTTAGCCCTCTTATCTAACTGTTTTTGTACCTCTTAACCAACGTCCACGTTCCCTCCTCTTCCATCCTCACACTGGGGCAATCACTATTTTACTTTCTACTTTCTCTTGAATTTAGTTCTCTTGTTGAGATGGGGTCTTGCTATGTTGCTGAGGCTGGTCTCAAACTCTTAGGCTTAAATGATTTTCCTGCATCAGCTTCCCAAGTATCAGGGACTTTAGGCATGTACAGTCACAGCAGGCTAAGTTCCACTTAACAGTGTTTCTTTAAAGTGTTCATTTATTATTTATTAGCAGTATGTGTAGGTAGATGTCATAGAACTACTTTAGGTTCTTTCCTTCCACCATGGAATCAAGGATCAAGCTTAGGTTTGCACTGCCAACGCTTTTATGCACTGAGCAGCCCTTAGGTTCAACACTTAAAGCTTCTTTCTATGGAGGAGGACATTTGGGGTTGCTTTCTCTGTGCTTAGCTTATTTCACTTATCATAATGCCCTGTAGTCCTATACATATTGTTGCATACATCAGGATTCCATTGCTTTCCTATAGAGTCCATTTTAAAAAACATATTCATGGGTTCACCAACACTTACATATATTCCATATCTTAGCTCTTGTGAATAGTGAAGACTGGAT